CGCGAAACCAAGTGACTCACGCTTGTCTGTTCTATTTTTGCAGCGTGGTTGTTGAACCCGCCAGAGGTACCGCTCGTGGCAGCAACCGCGACCGCTACGACGATCGATACAGTGGTCGGCGGGGCGGCGGCGGCGGTCGCTACAACGATAAGTAAGTACAGGCCCTAAAACCCGACCAAAGTAGCGACGATTCTGTCCTCTAACTTCGTTTGCGTTGAAGTTTGCCCCAAAATTAGCATTGCCAAATTATATTCATTTGAAAGTCCTATTCACACAGATGCGAACAGTTCAAATTGTTTGCCCCAATATTACCAATATGTTTGTCTATTAGTTCAGAACTAGTTAATATATTTCATCTATGGTCATAGCGATTCCCAAGACTAGTTTTCCCCAATTAATTTTGTTTTTAATATTATTTATAAATTTTTGAGTAGAAGACATTAAAGCGAATATCAGTATATTTAAATTTCAACTTTATGATCTTTTACTTGAAAGTATATTCTAAAAAATAGTCTTAAATTCAATTCCTAAGAGATTCCCATGCATCCAATCAAACCAATGTCCTCTGTGTGGATGGGACCCAAACGACACTGACTTGCTGTTAATCTTTTTATTTCCAAGACGCTCCGTTTTCCTATGCATATTATTATTTTCCTACGTTTGCACGTTTCCTATCCGCATATTATGTAAAATGTTTGTTTTCGTTTTGTTTGCGCATAACCCGAGTGTAAATATGCACATGTTCGAACATTCAGCATCACCGTTGATTTTTGTGATGGAGCAGCGGAAGCAGCAGCGCAGTGTCAATACTAATTAGCAAATCCATTCAATTATTCACCAGAAACAAAAATTCCAGATCATCCTCTCGCTATGGGCCACCGTTGCGCACTGAGTACCGCCTGATTGTGGAGAATTTGTCCAGTCGCGTTAGCTGGCAGGTAAGTGATCGGCATGAATCGATTTATCGGGCCCTGGGCCCGGTGATCACTGTAGCTTAGATTCGAGGAGTGTAGTGATAGCATTAATACCGGCTAACCGATTGAAATGGAACTCTATTACTATCGCCCACTAATCAACTTACCCATCCCCCAACCAAGAACCCACTCCCCCACACTTTTGAGAACCTCTTTTGATTTCGACTTGCTACCCGGTGTCTTTCTCCCGTTTTTCGTTTAACTCCTCCACTCTGACTCCAGCCATCTTTAATCTGTAAATTAGCCCTAAGCTGTACAGTTGACCTAGGCTTAAGTGAAACGAAAACATAAGTAATACTGCTAAAACCCTGGTACTGATCGGTGTAATCTACCCACCATTACTTTCTCTCGCACACACCAACCGAAACCGATAAAAAAAAGAGTTTGATGTGCTTTGACTGAGAGATTCCCTCCTCGGCCTGGGCCAAAACTATAACCGAACCGGGACCAAAACCCCGATAGAGAATCGAATCGAATCTAATTCAATCTAATTGAATCGCCGTGAGAAAGACAAACTGTTGACCGGTTCAGAGTGTTTCCCAAAAAACCAAATGAAGTGGTGGAAGGCAGAAAGACAGTCCCCAGAGCAGCCCCAGATTGGTTTCGATCTGCGATCTACGATCTGCGACCTACGACCTCCACGATGCGCCATCGCCGCCGCCTCATCCATCCGTCCATTCCAAACAAAATAAAAAAGAATATACACATAAGTCGATCAGAATCGAACCCAATCCAAAAAACACGAAACCAAAATCAGAAAGCAAACGATGACGATGACGATGGACGATGATGAGCTGCCCGGGTCAAAAGGCCAGCCCACGTAAGAAGATTCAAGACGTTGGCTGGCCTCTTGCGTGTTAGGTATTTAACTCTCTGCTAAAACTATTCACAATTTTAACTACCAACAATATTATATAAAGAATTGTCAAATTCCTTATAGCCATTGTGAGTGTGAGAGGGCGTAAATCGATACAATCGAGTGTGGTTAGAGATGAGAAGCTTGCGTTCGCTAATTCTGAGATGATGTGATGATGGTCGTGGCGACGATGAGATGAGAGATGAGCATGTGACGATGATCGATCGAAGACGATGACGATACGATGCTGGTCGCGCGTTCAGTTGCCAACTTCGGCTAGTGCCTCCGAACTTAGTCCTTCCCCCCAATTCCCGGTTCTTCTGGCTTACGGCTCCCGGCTTCCGGCACCCGGCTTCCGTCTCCGGCTGAGACTACCGACTAGACAACCAACCCGTTGGAGCAGCGAGAGCAGCGTCCCGAAACGTATTTCTTATTTTTACAGTTCGTTTGTGCGTGAGGCGCCGAAGCCGCTGGTTGTTGTCCGCCCGCTGCCCGGCAAACTGCTCCAAATGCTCCACTCTCTGGCTCTCTGGTGCGGTGGTTCTGGCCAGCGATGTCTGCTCTGATCTGATCTGACCTCCTGACTGTATCCGGTGGTGTGGCTCCCTCTGAAACGAAACGAATACCGCATACCGCTATCGCTACCGCAACACTTGAATTATAATATGATTCTGTTGTACATGAAAACCAAGAGAAAAAAAGCATAACAAACCAAAACAAAACAATACAAAAACCTAAGTAACGAAACGTAACGAGGTCTGGCCGGCCATCCATCTGCTCATCCGCCCGCCTGGCCACTGGTTCACTACTGGCTGCCTGGTCGAGTTAACGATGTTCGATCGGACTTTCGATGAGGTCATGAGGTGTCCTTGGTGTCCTTGGCCCACAGTTACTAGGCAGACAATCTAAACTCTCGGTGTAGAAACGATGTGTGTGTCCTCCTCTCTCTGAAAGCGCATTAAGTAAGAATTCAATTACAAATATTTTGTTAACTTTAATTTATTTCCAAAACCAAATCAACTATATAAACTATCTATCAATTGCCAACCACTGTTAACTATATTGTTTACGCTTAAGTTCTGTGTCGCGTGCAGCGTGGAGCGTTTGAATGTTTCGTCCGGTACGCTCCTCTGGGCACCTGCTCCTCCCATCCCGATCGATCGAACGAGTCCTTCGTCCGGCTTGAGGTTCTCGGTTTCCACCCGTAGGCAGGCGCGACAAGAGCACAGGATAGACGAACACAGGGCACTCAGTGAGAGGGAGAGAAAGAGGGACTCTAAGATCGGACTTGGTTAGGAGCCAGCCCCAATACCACCGGAATCATTCGAAACGCTCCACCTGCTGCACGGGCTGTCCTTTGAGTTGCTCCACTGTCGTCGGATGCGAATTGTGCGAGATCCCTGCCAAAGCTAAATTTACTAATGCTTATCCTTCTCTTCCAACTTTGTGCGTCCCCTGCAGGATCTGAAGGATTACATGCGCCAGGCTGGCGAGGTCACCTATGCCGATGCCCACAAGCAGCGCCGCAATGAAGGGTAAGTAAAATGGTCGGAAATACTTCGATTTGTTTATTAATCAGTACTCTTTCACTCCAGCGTGGTTGAGTTTGCCTCGTTGTCGGACATGAAGACGGCCATCGAGAAGTTGGATGACACCGAGCTGAATGGCCGGCGCATCCATCTGGTCGAAGATCGCCGTGGAGGACGCAGTGGTGGCGGCGGCGGTGGCGGACGTGGACGCTCCCGTTCGTCAAGCTCTCGTTCGCGCTCTCGCTCCCGCAGGCGTTCCCGCTCCCGCCGCTCGTCGCATTCGCGCTCCAAGTCTCGCAGCCGCTCCAAGTCCCGTGGCGGACGCTCCAAGTCCAAGTCGCCGGTCAAGTCTCGTTCTCGTTCCCGCTCGCGCTCCAAGTAAGTTCTGCTTTCGATACTTCCTATAGGGATCGTACTTAATATACATTGATCTTAAAGAATCATATAATAGAGGCTAGCATATGGAATATAAATAGAATACCTGCCTGATTTTAATCTACACTTACCTAAATTATTTTAAAATCAATATATATATTTAGATAGCCTTTATTTGGAATGAACATGTATGTTATTTACGATCCCTTGCTTGATATATTTTGATTAGATTCTTATGCTTACCCATTTCTTTTATTTCTCCTCTTGTGCTGCAGCAAATCGCGTGATGTGTCCAAGTCCAAGTCGAAGTCCCACTCCCGCACCCGCTCCCGTTCTCCCAAGCGCGAGCGCGACTCCCGTTCCCGCTCCCGTTCCGTCTCCAAGCGCGAGTCCCGCTCCCGCTCACGTTCCAAGTCCAACCGCCGCGACTCCCGCTCACGGTAAGTTTAGCTAGACCCGCTGATCTCGGCTCTATATAGATAGTTCACGGTTCTTTCTTTCGTGCTTTCTTTGGTTTTGTTTGGATGCACCTGTTTGTAGACCTCCAACTGCTGTGGTCGCTCAAAAGCTCGTTCTATAATGCATTATAATGCCTTTTCCTTACAGCGATCGATCCGCATCGGCTGACAACAAGTCGCGTTCCCGCTCGCGCTCCCGTTCGGCCTCGCCCAAAAATGGAAACGCCTCGCCGGACCGCAATAACGAGAGCATGGACGATTAGATTAGTTAGCTGTCCCATTAATTTTAAAACACTTGATTTTAGACTTCTACTATAACTATTCTACGAACATCAACACTCAGACACCCCCTATTTACCCTGCGTCACTAAAACCAAAACAAATGAAAATGAAATCATATACAAATCCACAACAATTGGGCCTCGTCATTTTTTGGTATCCTGGAGAATCCAACATGCAGGTGGGCCATAAGCTGGAAAATGACTGGGACCTTTTGGATTAATTGGATTCCAGGGAGTACACTTTGGACACGGATCATATGACATGTACACCACACAAGAACACTTAAAATTGTCTATACGATGAGTAATTTCAATAAATACGGATACATTTAAACTTAACAAATTCTTTGCTTGGAAGGTTTTGCTGGAAAAAAATAATCTGGGGTGTTACAGAAATCTTTTCGGGGATAATGTACCTAATCATCAATACAAGATTCCTCCGAATCCCTCCCAAAGAGGTTTCTATGACTCCCCAGAATAAAAATACCATCGAATTTAATCATATATAAATTTAGTTTATTGTTTTTTGTTGTAATTTCGGAATATAAGTATATTACAAAGTCTTAGTTTCACTATTTCGCATTATTTGCCTGAATTAAAATTACAATTTCATTTGATTTTATTTATCTTGAATTTAAAGAAATCCACTGGTAATTTAAACCCCATTGGCTGAAATATGGTATAGTTAAATATTTAAAATTTGGAAATGAATTAGCATTCTAAAAATCTAAAATTCAGTTAAATCAAATGCATAACTAAGTTTTTCAAACTGACAAAGTTTTGGTTCTAACAATATATCGTTTTTTAAAGTAATTACTTTTATTAATTAAGTATACTATTATATACAAAGCACATAAGGATAAAAGAGATTTCTTTTGAAGCGTTTGACGTCTCGAGTGAGCAATGTGGGCCTTGAAAAATGCATCGACTAACTAGAACAGATTATCGAAAATCCTATTTTAAATGCGAATGCCGTAAAACATATCCATGGGAATGCTTAAATTAAGTGTGGGGAATTCGGTTCGACATTATCTACAACTATAACTAAATGCATTCTTTGCATAAATGCGATAGGGGGAGGTCTTGGGGTCTGAGACGGTATATATGTCTGTCTAGCACACGTACGATGCGAAACTTTCGATGCCATTTGCATGGCATTGGTTCGCACGTACGAGTGGGTATTTGGCACATCGTGGAGTCACTTGAGCACTGGAGTTGCCTGAAATGTTCTTCGTGGGCTTCTAGCTAAGTATTTGACACTTGGTTAGATAGAGGACGTCGCCTTAGTTGCGGCTACTAACTACTGCGCACCGTGCGTCGTAAACTAATATCGAGTTCGTCTTCAAACATTACGTAATCATAATAAGTCTGAATAAAATGGATTTTTAAACGTTAGCTAACATTAATCGGCTAAATAGTATTTACAGCATTAATTTGACACTTTCATTGCGTTACTTTGGCTCCTGGAATATATTCTACGTTTATATGCACGATTAGTTGCAAACTAAGTTAATAAAACGAAGCAAAAACGTGTCTGTTATGCTTGAATTTTTTGAAACCGTTTCGGTTTTAAGTTTCGAACATTTAAAAAGACTTAAGGCAGTTTAATAGTCAATGATATTGGTAATCCTGATCCTATAACTTTTAAGGCTTTGATGGTTTGAAGTCCATCAAATTCTCTAAACTGACTATTACGAAATCCGCGACCCCTTCTATGATATATATGTAATATAGGTCTAAAATTTACGAAATACAAAGGAAATACATTATTTTACAAATAGCTGGCCTATAAACGTAGTAATACACAGGTTGATTTTAGCTCGAGGTTACCATCGGAATCGGTCTATTTATGGCTACGGATGAATGGATGTTAGTGTTAAAATAGAAAGACTACGAGTGAGTGTTGCCGTTCCATAATCTTTCGCATCGCTTCTAGGTTCTATCGCTCGGAAATGGCAGTGGTTTACATTCAATTGTATAGTGCCCTAGTTGTAAGTGTTGTATATATAGGTTTAGTCTCTATCATGCCGACTACATGTTGTATAGATTTATGCACTAGTTCACATTGTAAATGCACACACATGGCATATCGCGGGGAGCCTGAGCCAGAGCCTACATAAATTGCTCGATATCATTATCCAAACGGATCCAAGTCGGATCAATCGTGTCGTGTCCTACATTCATTTGCGAATCTATATAAGTATTTAAGTACTATTAGAGCCTTGTTATCACTTTCGATTTGTAAGTCGTTTTTTGGCTGGGGGCTGGGGCCGCCACTTCGTTGTTCCAGCAACCCGCTAATCCTCCACCAATGCATCTAAAGATCCTAGATGCGAATGGATAGGAGTGAGACATTGCGCTTCAGCAGGGTGTGCGGTCGCAGCTCCATGCTCGCCGTATCCCCCATGTCCACCATATCCACGCCCATGTAGCTGCTGTCCATGGTCCCACGATCGGCCAAAGTGTGCAGGCTCTGGGTGTCGTAGTCGTAGTTCAGGTCCTGCATGGGCACCACCTCGGGCAGAAGGTGTCGGATGTGTGTGGGCGATCGCCTCAACTTGTATTGATTTCTGCGGATGAAGATGTTGGGATTTCAATTAAGTAGTCAAGGTGATGAAGGATCGGTACAGAAGGCATGCATGATGGATGGAATAACCTGATTTTACTATATGGTCTTTCTTTCTAATAATAAGGATAGCATTGTCTTGGTTTCAATAGTCCAATCTCTTATTTCAGTATATATCAGTAGAATCAGGATATTAATTTAATCGGATGAAATGGAAAGCTTACTCTGCATCGTTGTTCTTTCCCAAGTTGTTACTTCTGCAGATGTGCAAACCATAAAGTGTTGTAAAAACCAAAATAAGTACACACAGAACATTCACAAACAATTTTTAAAGAGGCTCAGGAGTAGGACTATAAGCACTAAATATACATATGTATTTATATATAACGAACATGGTTTGCCCAAAAAATATTCCTTTGTTCAAAGATTATGATAAAAAACATCAATACTTATTTAAAAGAAAGGGGGATATAAACTACCCTTCAATATGTTAGCCAGATAATTCGTAGGTGAGTTTTATGAAGTAGTCCTAAGGTTTTATATCTTTTTTGTCTTCAACATTCTCATTACATTTAAGAAATCCATTCAAAATATAAGCATGTCCCAAGTTTCAGGTATCTGCGGATAACCTATGACATTTTGCTCCTGAAACTTTGATATCTAATTATTTTGTGTTTACCTAACTAATTATAAACTTGGCTAATACGAACCCACTTTCAGAGCATGCCATATTGTGCCAACTGGCTGGACAAAGAAGGGGAAATATTAAAGGTCAATCCTGTCGGCAGTGGAAGGATGAAAAGCTTTCGAAAGCCCTCAGACACTTGCGAGCCCAAGTCCTATCTCTAGATAATAGAGCGGGAAAACCCCGGCAAGTGCCCAGTGAATTGGTATACCCCTGAGCCCCTTCCTAATCGCACGATTACGTACTTTTTATGTCGGTTCCCATTGAGACACATGCAGTGGCACGAGCACATGGACGAGGCGTTGCTTCCGTTCAGAGATTGGCCATCGTGTCCCTCGTAGCCGCTCAGAATGGATCCGTTGGATGTTATCACATCGCCCTCCAGCTTCACAGCCACTTGCAGCGCCTGCAAGGGGTTAATACAGGTGTTAGATACAAATCGTCTATGGATTCAGGGGGTGTTTTTGAATGCCGAGTGGGTGGAGTATAGCGTTGAAGACTGAGGAACGGTATTTTCGTGTGGTTTTGTGGATTGGAACTGGATTGGTGGTGGTGCTTCTTTGTTCAGTGTCGTACAGAAAGCCAGGTGGTTAAGTAGTATAGTAGTTTGTTGGGGGCGTGTTTGTTAGTTAGTCAAGAGTATTGGAATCTGAAAAACCGCAATCACCTCGTTGGTCCATAAACTGGACTTGGACATAAACTAAGCTCGCGTTTTGCATTTGATGCGTTTCATTATCGTTTCGTTAAGTCAAAAGCAACCGAAAATATGCGAAAAAAGAAAGTATTTATTCGATTTTTATTGGGTAGCTCTCGCATTTTGGGCCTGCATTGAATAGATTGTATAAATTAATTTGTTCAAAACATTTGGTATTAAAATTGTTAAGTAAATATCGAAAAAGAAGCCGAAGGTGCAAGATCAAGAGTTAGCCAAGTGTGCAGCAAAGTGGCAAGCAGATATATGTATGATATTTAAAAAAACTATAGTTAATTTAACAAGTTTGGTCAAAAGGTACGAGAGTATGAGACAGATGGAAGTTGTACGAAAAGAAATTACAAAATTTGTAATATTATGGAATCTAGGGTACAGTGAAGCGTTGGTATAAGGTTTAAAACTGTAGAGCAAAGCGGTTGACTACCAAAACGGGGGGAAAAGCCTCGAGTTTGGAAACACTCGCCGTGGCGAGTGGCATAATACGATAGTAATAAAATCCAAAAACAGTCCTCAAGTCTACGGTAATAAATGGCATGAGTTGCTCGACTTACTCCCGCACGGAGGACCCCGATCTCACCTGCATGGCCTGGGCCTCGTCGCGTCGCTCATCCTCGGTATTCATTGTAACAAACCTAAGTACTAACAAGTTCAGCGAGGCGGCCACGATGGCCAGGCCAAATAGTATAAATATCAGTGCGAACATCACGTATTCGGGCTTCCTGTTCAGTGCATTGTCCCGCTGCAGGGCTACCATGTCGCCAAAGCCTGGGGAAGGGGTATACAAATTATATTCTTTGTTGGAAAAGTTGTATGGTATACCCTACCTATTGTGGTTAAAGTAATAAAACAGTAATATACTGAATCGAAGTAGCTCCAGCCCTCGAATTTCGAGAAGGCCGCAGCACCGCCTGCTATCGTCAGCGAACTGAGAGTGGTCACAACACATATGAGGTCCACCTCCGAGGCGACGGTCCTTTTGCAGCGCAGCGAGGAGCGGACCGCTTTGATAACATAGCTGTAGATTAGAGATATAAGGATATGTGAGACTAAAGATATTTTAAAAAAGTTGCATTTGACTTAAGGTAATCAAGTAATTGAAATAAGTTAAAAACGTATAGTTATACCCGTTAATCATAGAGTAAAAAGGTATCCTAGATTCGTCGGGATATATATGTTTATGATCAGGATCAGTAGCCGAGCTAGCCACGTCCGTATGTCTATCCGCCCAATTGAAACAATAATAGCTAGAAAGATGGGTTTTGGCATGCAGATTCTTGAGGTTGTCGCGCAGCAAGGTACCACGACCACAAACGCCCATAACGCTAAAGTTTATAATATGTTGTAACAGTACGCATCTGCATTCCAAAAACTGTTCAAATCGGACCATCCATTTAAAAGTTATAGGCGAATGATTTGTGCAATCCCGGAAATAGCCGATTTGCTGCATGCATATTTTCATCTCCCTAGCACACCCTCGTTTAGCTGAGTAACGGATATCTTATAGACGAGGATGTCGACTATAATGCTCTTTCTGGTTTTTTTATTACATTTAAAAAAGTAATTTAAGAATCAGTACTGTTGATAAGAATAAATCTTTAAAAATTATGGGAAAATGTCTCAAAATTAGGTGGAAAATGTAGAAAGATTTAAAGTTAAAGTTGAAATATTTTCACTTATAAGAAGTTGAACACATAAGTCTAATATACATTTGGACTACCTATGAAATATTTAGAACACACTTATTAAATTAGCAAACACACCTGCTCAGTCTATTCACTCTTTCTCCGATGCTCTGGAACATAACGAGGCCCAGGGGAATCCCCACGATGGCATAGCACATCGTGAAGAGCTTCCCGCCCACCGTGCTGGGCGTCGAGTGTCCGTAGCCTGAAATGGTGGGTCATCATGAGTGGTTTATAGATGTGTACGTGTATTATAGCCATATCACAGTCGGTTAGATAACTCACCTATGGTGGTTAGCACCGTGGTTGCATAATAGAATGCACCGGTGAATTTCCACTGCTGGCCGGCCTTGTGCGATTCCGATTTGAGCACCACAGTCTCCATGACTTTGAAGTCCTCCTGTGAGATATTGTATTTGCGTATTATCATGTCCTCGGCATCTGCAATTAGTCGCAAGAAAGGCAAGAGTGTTTATGACGCAACCCACACGAATCTCGACGGCAGGTAATGGTCGTCATGTTCTTCAGTGAAAAGCAATTGGGCACTCGAAGAAATAAGGGGTCTCTTGGAATTAACATTAATTACCAGTATGCATATACCATACAAACATATGTTCTTGTGCATCATAACTCATTATGCAAATTTCTAACCTACTAGGTGCAATAGAATTTTAATGAACGGTATTCAGAAGGTATCGGGTTATAATAACCAATACATTAAAATAATTTAGTTGCATATTTTTACAGATTTTTATAGACTTTTAGTAATATACTATATGAATTTAAAATAGGCCCTTCAGCTTAAAAATTCTAAATCGGAGACTTGTCTAAACTTAGAGTTTTAAAGATATTTTATAATTACATTTAATGCCTGGATTTGAACTCGGTACCTCTGTCAAAAAATTCAAAGTCTGCGAGTAGACTACAATATAATCTTAAAAATCAATAAATAATCAAAAAGGTAATGCTTTCTATTATAACCAAATATATTGTTTTAAGAATGATAAATTTTACTCGCTTAATTATGGATATAAACGCAAAACCTGAATAAAATAATTTTTTTTTGATATAGGGACTTTACAATTAATTTATTCAAAGACTTTCCCATTTTTGCCTTAAGAAATAAAGTCTAAGAAAATATTAACTAAATGAAACTTTTTTTAATATTTTTTTTTCCGAAACCATATTTTTTCCAGTGTATGGTGTGACTGCACTGCCACTTGTGTTCGCACTCACCTTGCAGCGCCTCCCAACGACGCTTTTCCGTTTCCGATTCGAGGGCGTCAAAGACGGCGGCGCCGACAAGCAAGTAGGTAAATGTACACACGATCAAGGATATCGTGCGCACATTTTGTTTCTTCATTCTTCATTTAGGCGAGTATTGGGTGGTGGATCGTTGGTTCAGTGGCGTCGCCTCCGCTTGCGGTACAGTTTGCAGGGCCTTTCCTGGCTGCTCACCTGGCTAACCGGGCCGCACCTGCCGTCGTCCATATGAATCCTGCTCGTCCTTGCCGGGCTCAACGACGCGCTCTCAAAGGACAAACTTCCCAAATTGGGTTAGGACCTAGGACTCGACACGGTCTTTCACTCGGCACTTCTGTTCTAGTTTTATGCAGTCTCTTCGGCTGCTTTCTATTTTCTGTTTTTGGCAAACTCACTTAGCACTTTGATTGCATTAAAAATAATATCACTCGGGGAGGGGGGTGCTAGTGCTGGTGCTGGGTTCACGTTTAGTCGGTTAGCTCTCGGCGAGGAGGTGGTGGTGGTGGCGTTTATTTCTGTCACAGGCCGTGGGCCTTTGTCCTCGTCGCGTTCGTTGCGCCGTCCATGTCCTTGCGTTATTTATGCTGCCAGTGAGCTTGGATGTGCATGTGCCAGTGCCTGTGCATGTGCGTTCCATGCTGCAATCCTTCATCGGGCGGCGCTGCTCTCAAGGATTACTCTGCGACGGCTGCTGCTCCGGCTGCGGGTGACGGGCGCCATCTCGCGCAGTGGTTGTAGTTGTGCAGTCCCGAGTTCGTGTCCGTGTCCTTCCTGCGTGGATTGGCTTGAATTAGGTTTTACGGCCGGGCTAAAATTAACGCCTGCAACTAATCTGTCATCATCAATACCAGGTTCCCCCCGCTACAAGCACACTCTGGCAAAGTTTTAAGAGCAGTTGGGGTCAAGTTAATAGCACTTTTGAAGTGCTTCATCAAAATGTATGACAAAGTTAGCTTGATACATTAAAAATAAGGAACTTTAGGTACTTTAACTAAGTAGCCCTTAAAATGTATAATAAAAAAAGTAGATAGATCAATATTACAATGATTATTATGATTAGCTCAAAGTTTTCCTTGAGATTTCAAAAACACATTAGAGAAATCTCTACAGGTTTAAAATATGATTTTTAAAAAATGTGCCTAATAGTATGCTGTAAAAAAATTAAAAGTTCCTCATTTACTGTAATTTGCCCATATGTATGACCGTAAAATAAATTGTAGCATACTTTTAAGCACATTTTTCACCAATGGTTTCTTTTTACAGAACAGTAGGAGGTATAAAACCACTTAAACCACTTTTCTAACTAAATTTTAAACGAAATTGTATGGACTTTTAAAAATGAAGGAACTTAATCCATGTATCTATAAGATCTCAAGACTTATATGTGATAGAAAACCTCAAAAGGTAATACTAAACTCTAGGTGACTTCTGTTAATTATCGGCTTTTGAAGGTTCTCCCCCCCAACTGCATTTTTGAGCTATTATTTTGACCGCCGCTGTGTGAAAGGTGTACACTTCACCTCACCTTTACTCACACACTCGCCCACCACACAAACATGCAAATGAAAAATTCATTTGCATGTGTCCTTCGCCCAATGAGCGTAAGGATTTGTGGACACACTGGCATCTTGGCGTTTTGGCAACGTGTGAAGCTGCGAAATCTCAGCTGTAATTGTTGAATAATTCAGTTAACAGGCGGGATAATGAGACGCCGAAAATGAAAGCTCTCCTTGAGTTTTAGAGTGTGTGTGTGTGTGTGTGTGTGTTTTGGCCATCTAACGGCAATTTATTGATGAACAATGAGGCAGCATTGCAGTGTCTCTGAATTATTCAAGTGTGTGTGTGTGTGTGAGTAGATGAGAGAGGTTCAAAGCGCGTTCAAGTGTACCCACACACACACACACACAGACATACCGACACAGACAGGCTTTTTTTAATTCATCGAGTATAGTAGCCGAAATGTTGGTCCTTCGGCGCGGATTGTGGGGGTTGGTTTTCCTGCCCCCCCCCCCCACACACACACACACGAAAGGCAAAAGGATGCCCGCCCTTAGTTAACTTTTTTGTTAGTTTCCTTGCTTCTTGTTTGTTGTGCTATTTCGCGCAGCTTTCTATGGCCACATCCCCCCCCCCAAAACTCTCGCAGATTCCTACACAGTTCCCATGCACTGGCAATGACAGTGACACTATCAAGAGAATCCCCCCCCCCACAGGCACTTCGCGAAAAAAAGGACGAGAAGCAGAGTCCTCACATCTGAATTTTGTTCCATTATGTAAAGCCCGCACACATATATGTACATCCTTTCCTCTAAAAAAAACAGGTTTAGAATCTGGAACAGCTCGCTATCTTAGCAATCAGTCACAGGACACAGCACAGATCCTTTCGATTGGTTAACTACAATAATTGCACAGAAATTCAGCGGCGCCCCACAATTTTTCACTACCGTAATTTGGCTCCGTTGGGGCCGCACTTTCGTCCTGTCGCCACTCGGATTCGCATCCGTAATGCTCTCGAATCGACGGCTGCGGAAGCTTTGCTCCGGCGCACAAAATCGTCGGCTGCTGTTGGGGTTGTGAGTTGTATTATTCCAGGTAAACTATTTTGCAAGTGTTTCCTCGCCACAGAGCAATATTTCTAACTAGTCTAATTATTTTAATTAAATATTGTTTTATGGCACTCGGATGCTGCGGCGCGGGTGAAAAAATTTTAAAACTTTTACGCTGCGTGTTGCTTAAATAGATTTTCGGACGAAAGCTCGACCTGCTAGTTTCTCTCTCCTCGCTGGGATTTTCTCTCTTGCTGTTAGGACTCTCCGTGGATGTTACATTTCCCTACCGGTTTTGGTCCTTGGTTTGAGTCTAAGCTTAAGTAAGGTTTATTTTGGCTTAATCTCTAAAGAAAAAATCAAAAAGCCTTTATAAATGCAGGTGTTCTTAGCTAGCTCTAAAATGTATAAATTGTTTTAATAAATTAAAAAGTTAAGATATTTCAAGTTTTTGTATTTCTATTTTCCGGGACCTTTGAAAAACCACAGTTTTGGAAGCATTGTGCGCAGACTAAATGCTAGGTTCAAAACTTGGCTACCTTAGTTTTGTTCAAAAACATTAAAGGAAATTTTTGAAGTTTATTGTAAAAAAATATTTAAAATATAAAGTTTTAAAAAATCAAATTTCACACTTTTTAGGTTTAAAGCAAAGGAAGATGCCTTTGAAAAACTGCCTGCCATTTACATTTTAAAAGGAAAATTTCAAAACTTTATATTGTAGTAAAAAAACATTTTTAAAACCCTCCTTTTTCAGTTTTAAAGGGTAGGATGATGCCATCCTTTACAAAACTGCATATCATTTCAATTTTAAAAGGAAACCTTCAACATTTTCCGAAAAAATTTTTATTTACCGCTTCAATTCAATTCTTAAACTTATTGCAAAATCAGTACTTAAAAAAATAATCTTTATATTATAAAGTCAAAAGTTTTATGAAAGGATGATGCCATTCTTTGAAAAACTGCCTCAAGTGATAATTATTTTAGATTATAGTTCAAAAAGATTTATTAACTTGATAAAAAATAAATGCCCCCATTTTAGAGGCAATTCCTCATCATACCCTGAATCACTACTATTATCCTTTAGCTGTCACCTACCTTGGTCAACTCCTCTACTGCTCCTTGGCACACTGACCCGGCCGTCAATCACCAAGATGAATCCGGCTAAATTGGCCTGAAAACCCTTCTGAAATCAGGCTTCCAATCCAAAAATCAATTCTCACAATTTAGAGCAAACATGTCCAGTGGTGGCCTGGCCATGAGCTGATAATTAAAGTGCAGGGTAAAATGTACATTGTACACTGACGATTCCGTATAAACTTAAAACGCTAACTACATTAGTGCTCCATGGCCTCGGGCGGCAAGACGATGTTGCAGCCGAGGAGGCCGCGTCCGCTCCAGGTTTTTGGCACCAATATCAAGTCCAGCTGCTGCTCGGCACGCTTCACCTTCAGTTGGACATTCTGGTTCTGCATGTTGCGCACGACCTCGCCAATCTGGGCGAGATCTCCTTTGAAGTTATTGCTATTAATAGAGCCGAAACGGAGGATGGCATCGCCCACACAAAGTCCCTGAAAGGGGTTTTCAAAAGGGATTAACAAGTGCTATAACAATGCTGATTTCTATTGCCACTCACAGCTTTCTCGGCGGGGGAATCGGCACTGACTAGGTTGACCACCACGATGGCGCGAGCTGGTGCAAGGTCAGCCAAATTGGCTCCTCCTGGCGATCGGTCGCTGTCCAGGTCTAGAGCAGAGGCACGGTTCACCAGCTCGGGATCTGTGGTGGCTATCTCGCTGTGGTATTGGTTGAGCAGGGTCTGGATCTGGTTCATCAGCTCCTTGTGGTCGTTCTGCAGGCAGATGATCGTCTGGCGCGCCTGGCGCACCTGGTAAATGTCGATGTCGTTGCGCGGGAAGCCCTCGGAATCCACAAGAGGTCCAGTCATGCCCACGTTGTCGTTCTGGAATGAAAGGTTAAGGAAAATATCATTATGTTTTAGTTACAGAACAAAATAGGAAGACATAAAGAGAATGGTTCTTTGGTCAGGGAGTTTTTAAATATTTATGCTAGGAATCATACAAACTAAACGATTTTCCTGATCATGGCGGCCATCAATATAAATAGGAAGCCTCTAGGATCATAAGATAGGAACATATATAGGAACCAATTGCAAAAATTTGACATCCAAACAGGAATTATGTTATGCTTATGAATGCATAACATAATTCCTATTTGGATGTCATAGGAGCAAATTTTTGCAATTGGTTGACAAGTTTTCATTAGTTGTTTTGTTGTTTTTAATGTTTTGCATTCTTTTCATAAATTATTAAGGAATTACTCCTTTGAAATTTAAAAAAATATTGAAAAGTCTTACAAGGTTATGGTCATGTATATCCATTAGATAGTAGTCTCTCATTTTTGTTTAAATTTAGTGTCAAAAAATTTTTTAAGTTTATATTCGCTCAGGAATAATGATAATTTTTATATAAAAAATAAAACTCAGAAAAAAAGATTATTTTTACAAAATAACAAAAAAGTCACAGATTTAAAAATCATGATGAAAATGGGTATACTAACCAAAGAGAATCACCATGGTATTTTCTATTTCTGCGTATGTCAATTCAAAGTGGGTCCCTGGCCAAAACCACTTATTGACAATTTTTATTTGTAACACCTAACGTAAATATTACATACCCCATATACCCTATTCATAAGTAAAGGGTATTTCCCTAGGTCCTATAAGAACAGCTGATCAAGGGTGTTTATGAACCAGCTGCTCGCCAAAGTGGATGTACCCCAACCAAAAGAAGGGGTACCGTAGTGCCTCACTTCTGCTGATCCTATAGACCAGTAAATACAGGGTATGTAGCACTACCACTTGCTTGCAAAGGCAAATATACCCCATTCCAAGAACAGGGTACCATGATGAGTACGCGACTTTACTTACGGCGGCCAGGATCTGTCCGTTTCTGCTGATCTGCGCCTCCAGCTGCTTCTTGGCGTTGATCAGCCGCTCCAGTCGCTCCTTGGTGGTGGCCATGACTTTCCCTTCGATTCGAGTTATTCAGTTGTTTGCTTTTAAAAACACAAATTTGTTATTTTATTCGGTTTTTTTAGACTCGCCAGCAACAACAGCAATTTCGTTGCGCAGCCCTGGTCAGTGTGACCGTACGGCGAAACACCAAATTTGACCAAAAAATAATTGTTAAACAATTTTCGGAAAAAAAGAACAAATTAAACGGAAAATAAACACAGAAATTAACAAATTTATATGAAAAACAGATCGAGCAGTTGTGGACCGGAGAAGGGGTGAAGGAAATCCAGGGGAAAAGCCACGCGAGAAACTACGGACGACGAGAGACCTCGAGAAAATCACAGGCCAACAATCAATTCAAGTGTGTTTGTGCGAATTGATTACAAAAATAAAGGTATTTCGAGAGGTGAGCGATAAAAGAGGGCAAAAAAACCCGCGTGTGCCTGGAGAGGATTGGGTTGGCCAACCAGTAAGCACCCACAGAACCTGCCAAGGCTGCTCCCCGCAACTCCAAATCCGCCGGAGTGGGGCCACCCCACCTGCGATATGTGATCAGTGGGGCTCTCCGGAGGTTTATGCAATGTTCTAGCTCTCGGCAAGGCGGAGGAGAAGCAGCCGGAGCAGCCTGTCCAGATGACTGTGACCACCATGGAGGCACAGGTCAAGGCAGCACATCATCACCATCTACACCATCCAACGGGCGGCGGGGCCCAGCACAAGGAGGAGGAGGATCCGGGTCCCGTCGAGGACGAGATGACCGTTCTGCTGGCCAACAAGAACTTTCACTATGACGTCGCCTCCGACCTGGACGACGAAGCCTTTGTGGAGATCAAAGAGGACACCACTGCCGCCGTGTCGGAACCGGCGGGAGCAGCGGGCTTTTACAATCCCGATGAGCTGCTCCTCGAGGAGCAACCACATCAACAGGTCACCTGGCTGGACGACGACGAGATCGAGACACTGGATCGCGTCACCCTGGACATGGGCAACATGTTCTTCAATCGCGTCGACAGTCAGGACATCATCTATCAGCAGAAAAAGAAGAACATCAAGATGGTGGGCAAGTACATCATGGGTGATGTCCTCGGCGAGGGCTCCTACGGCAAGGTGAAGGAGGCCATGAACTCGGAGGATCTCTGCCGGCTGGCGGTCAAGATCCTGACCAAGCGCAAGCTACGCAGGATCCCCAATGGCGAGCAGAACGTCACGCGGGAGATCGCCCTGCTGAAGCAGCTGAAGCACCCGAATGTCGTGCAGCTGGTGGACGTTCTGTACAACGACGAGAAGCAGAAGATGTACCTGGTGATGGAGTACTGCGTCGGGGGGCTGCAGGAGATGGTGGACTACCAGCCGGACAAGCGGATGCCGCTCTTCCAGGCGCACGGCTACTTTCGCCAGCTGGTCGACGGCCTGGAGTACCTGCACAGCTGCCGGGTGATCCACAAGGACATCAAGCCGGGCAACCTCCTGCTCTCCCTCGACCAGACGCTCAAAATATCCGACTTTGGCGTAGCCGAGCAACTGGATCTGTTCTCACCCGATGACACATGCACGACGGGCCAGGGATCGCCGGCCTTCCAGCCTCCGGAGATCGCCAACGGACACGAGACCTTCGCCGGCTTCAAGGTGGACATTTGGAGCAGCGGAGTGACACTGTAAGCCTAGGATAATATACTGTTTTAAGAAGTCATTTGTGGTGCACATAAGTCATCTTCATTTTCGCGAAAAATATCATATTCTATAAGGCAAATTAATAGAACTATAATGTCTATAATGGCTTCATTTTTCCGCTTGTCAAATGCATTAACTTGTAAACCAGAAAGTCCCAATAAGATCAAAATTCATTCCTTTGTTCACTATGAATATTTATCATAAATCTTAACCAAGGAATTGCATCATTAATTTAAATTAGAATATGAAGTGTTTATTGGTTTCTAAAAATATAAAATTACATCAGCTTACATCAACCACTGTTTGCTATTGTAAAATGTGTAAACATTGAATCACAATCAAGGATGTTTTTTTCGCTTTCGTGAACATTTGAAATTCAATTTTAGTTTCTGCTTGTTATACACATTTTTTTATACAGAAGATAATGTAGCTTTATTTAAATCACAAGTCTTATAAAATATATGTAC